ACACACACACACACACACACACACACACACACACACACACACACACACACACACACACACACATTATAGAGGGAAAGAGTACAGCTAGGTCCTCTCCCCATGGCATGAATATATGGATTGAGTGTGTGTGTGTGTGTGTGTGTGTGTGTGTGTGTATGTATCTTCTACCCATTGAAATGATGTATGGTGACAGTTGTGACTCTTTCGTGTGAAAGATGTATGGAGAGTGCAAACATTAATTTGCCTATGGCCTCTTTAACTGCGTGTGTGTGCGTGCGTGCGTGCCTGTGTGTGTGCATGCGTGCGTGCGTGCGTGCGTGCGTCTGGGAGGAGGGAGGTGGTGAATTAAATGTGTTGCTCCAAATATATCTCCAATGTGCGTTATGTGTATGGATTATGGAGGAGCAAGCATCAGACGTGGTGTCAGGTGTTGATCTGAGAGTGACGACCTGACGCGCGCGCTGCACACTGACGGATAAAGATGCGTCAGTCAGTGGCTGATGGGTGAGGGCTGACATGCATGGAGACAGTATGGATTCTCAGAAGTGACAGGGTGATGGTGGGTGGTGGGTGGGGGGTTTAACCTTGCACATGTGTCTGACATGTCACGATTGGTATTTTACTGCACTGGCTTAAGGTCTGTCTCTTTCTCTGTCTGTTCTTATCCACATATCCTTCCTTCCTAATTGTTTCTGCCTCTCTAATCCCCCCCCTCCTCCCCCCCATCTCTCCCTCTTTTCCCGTGTCCACTAACAGCGTGTTGACTTAACAAATCACCACCTTTCATCTTTTCGCAGCTCAGCTTAATGAAGACTTTGGCTACGGACAGGGTTTGTGGTATGACACGAGTCTCTGATCAGTCTGTCAGAGATGGATGGCGGTTTCCCCCGACAACCATTTATGGTAGTGACAGAGGAAAAGACCAGGGGAGAGGAGAGAGAAAGACGGCGACACAGGGGTCCGACCATNGATCATTTTTCTACATAATGAATAGTTTTAATTTTAAAGATTGGAATACATATAACACTGCGGATAATACTGTACTAATTAAGTCAGATTTTATAAGCAGAATGTGTACTCATAAAACCTCTTAGACTATTTTTACATCGTTCCACTCACTGAAGTACTTTGACGTAAGTAAAGGGTCTTTTACGTCTTGCACCACTGGGAGTGAATGAGCACTACGTCAGAAGAAAGCTGGAGTCACTGTCATGAGAATTCTTTTCCTCGCTGTAAATATTTCATATTTTTTGTACAAAGCATCACAGGCGGCTCGGGCTGGTTAACATTAGCCTGCTGTGTGGACTGTGCGGTTTTCTGTTTATTGTACTTCAGAATTTTCAAACAACTTCCTCTCGCTGGGTTTTGAGCTGTCACTGTGGAAAGTCAGTCTGACGCTGCTTTAAACAGGAATTATTTTAGGGGGTAAATTTCTCCCGAACGTGAATAACTACAGGTTAATAAAGCCGTGAATGGCGCACGAGCTGTCATGGCGTTGAGACCCTGACGCATAAATATTTAGAATTTAAGTTGGGTGTTGGTAAAATAAACCACCTCAAACCACTTTTTAATACAGTATAAAAAGCAGAACATGGATTAAGTCTAATCTAATCCTGATTTCATCAAGAGCAAAATCATTTTTAGCATGAGATTGAGATTTTCAGAGCTGGACAGCCTGACACAGCTCAACAGTTGTCAAAGTTGCTTCCAACTGCCATGGTAATTGGATGGACATCCCTCCCNAAAAAAAAGAGAGAAAGACCCTTTTTAGGTTACACAACAAAGCATACGAAGCCCTGATTTTTTGCCTCCCCTTTTCTATTTTGAGCGGCTCTAAAATGGGACGCCTAATGCATTTGATCATGCATGCTAAATCCTGAGTGCATGTGAGGTTAGGCGGCGTGGGCATCCGGCTGACGGCGTTGTTAATAATTCATCAGTCATACACACCACTGTGCCATCAGCCCGCTCCAACACACGCCGCTGCAGCCACGGATGAGTGTCGGGGAAATTGATAAATTCTCATATAGAACACACACACACACACACACACACACACACACACACACACACACACACACACACACACACACACACACACACACACACACACACACACATTATAGAGGGAAAGAGTACAGCTAGGTCCTCTCCCCATGGCATGAATATATGGATTGAGTGTGTGTGTGTGTGTGTGTGTGTGTGTGTGTGTATGTATCTTCTACCCATTGAAATGATGTATGGTGACAGTTGTGACTCTTTCGTGTGAAAGATGTATGGAGAGTGCAAACATTAATTTGCCTATGGCCTCTTTAACTGCGTGTGTGTGCGTGCGTGCGTGCGTGTGCGTGTGTGCGTGCATGCGTGCGTGCGTGTGTGCGTGCGTGCGTGCGTAGGTGGTGAATTAAATGTGTTGCTCCAAATATATCTCCAATGTGCGTTATGTGTATGGATTATGGAGGAGCAAGCATCAGACGTGGTGTCAGGTGTTGATCTGAGAGTGACGACCTGACGCGCGCGCTGCACACTGACGGATAAAGATGCGTCAGTCAGTGGCTGATGGGTGAGGGCTGACATGCATGGAGACAGTATGGATTCTCAGAAGTGACAGGGTGATGGTGGGTGGTGGGTGGGGGGTTTAACCTTGCACATGTGTCTGACATGTCACGATTGGTATTTTACTGCACTGGCTTAAGGTCTGTCTCTTTCTCTGTCTGTTCTTATCCACATATCCTTCCTTCCTAATTGTTTCTGCCTCTCTAATCCCCCCCCTCCTCCCCCCCATCTCTCCCTCTTTTCCCGTGTCCACTAACAGCGTGTTGACTTAACAAATCACCACCTTTCATCTTTTCGCAGCTCAGCTTAATGAAGACTTTGGCTACGGACAGGGTTTGTGGTATGACACGAGTCTCTGATCAGTCTGTCAGAGATGGATGGCGGTTTCCCCCGACAACCATTTATGGTAGTGACAGAGGAAAAGACCAGGGGAGAGGAGAGAGAAAGACGGCGACACAGGGGTCCGACCATTTCTTTTACTTAAAAAGATGTCATGTGAAGTGAGTGAGACCACGACCCCGCTGCACCACCACATTATCCCAGACTTATTTTCCTTGCTCGAACTATCAAACAGAAGCTTCTCCTCTAATTTTAACTCAGAGCAACAGCCAACAGCAGCTTGATGAGGTACAGCAGATGGACGAGATATGCTCTATTCCCCCTGCGGCCATATTGATTTAAATTCAGCTCTGGCAGGGCGGATGGCGGAAGTGCACCACAGAGCTGCATGCAAAAAAAAAAAAAAAAAAAGCGTCCTGAAGAGTGGGTACATTTAATAAGTGAAATAAGACACACAGCAGGGTGGACTGGAGTGCACATCGGCACATAGGCATGCTGAACCAATTAGATAAACTCCTCCTGGGGCAGGTTGAGGCATGATGCAGCAAAATGCAAAGTACCTCCAGTCCTTTAAATGGCAGACGCCGCATTGTACTTTCATTGAACACCTTAAAAATGAAAAATGGATTACTTCTACCTCTGCCGATTCCAACTCTATTGTACTCCTCGTGGAAGTCGGCTATCTGAGGCTTTCACGCCTGTACGAGAAGGCGCAGGGGGGAGGAAAAGCCATTTTGAAGAACGTTCTGGCTGCAGCAGAGCGGAGTGATGAAGTGAGCCGGACTCTGCAGAATCACTCTTTAATGATTAAACACACACGCACACCCAATGTAAACCACAGTATTGATCAGCAGCTTGAGCTTGTCTTGCAATGTGACTGATAGGCGAGTGGGCTGGGAGCAGATCACACACACACACACACACACACACACACACACACAGTAGATTAACTTGATGTAGTTTATTATTCTGCTTAGGTCTGGTTAGTATTCATACGACTTTAACAGAACACACAAGTCACTGAGGTGGGCTCCATTTAACATGCGACATTTATCTGCACATCTGATCGGGATTAAGAAAAATGCATATTAATACAAGATGCGCACAGAATGCATGAAGGTCAGAGGACGATGGCAGGTTGGCCAGACCGCATCAGATCTCTGCCAAGTGTAAATGCAACGTCTGTATGGCGTGACCACATTCTTATGAAAGAAAAAAATCCGCCTATTAAGTTAAAGAGTCACCTAAGGACCGGTTTATTGTCTCTCAGAATCAGTTTGTAAGATGTGCTGTGCGACCTGCCACACCTGAAGGCAGAGGGGGGAAAGCTAGTCATCACACAGAGGGTGGAGAGGCAATATAATTTAAAACTGGGGATAACAGCGCGCACATTTTCAGACAGTCTCTCCAGTAGCAGATTTATAGAGTTACAGTCGCTTGTTCACATTAAAAAGTGCCACAAATAGTTATGTAACAATAAAAAAAGGGAGCTAGGGACAGAAGTACATTGCCTGGTGGCTGTTTTCTCGCCTCCACACAGCTGGCTAATCCTAGTGTCGCTCATCAAGGAGGCTGGGTGTGGTCAGAGGGGTGTTTATTTTGCACCTGTACCCATCGGCACTCTATTATCATTATTTCCTGGGGCATAGGCCATAAAAGAAATCGGGGTAAAAATCCACAGTAGTACTCGTTCCGTTCAAAAACGCATTCTGAAACTCAGCCAAAACATTCTCAAGCCAAATGAATCAAATCAAGTGGACGTCATCCAACAAAACAGACTTTCAAGGATGAAACTGCCTTTTGTGTCACTGTTCCTCCGCTGCAGCTCACTATCTGTGGAAACCACAAAGAGGGAGTTTTGTACTTAAAAAAAAAAGACTATAACTCTTGAAGATCTGTGTTGCACAGAATGAGGACTGCAGATTGTGTTCCCCATCTGATACTGGAACCACTTTAGAAAGGGATCGTTCTGCGTGTCCTGGTGATTCAGGGGTCTAAGATGCTGACCGTGTAATCACAACGTTCGGGTGCAACCGGGGACGTAGTTGCATGACGTTGTGCATTGTCCAGTGTCGCCCAGGAGATACCACCATGGACAGCAGATCGCGGAGATCAATGAGCATTTGAACATTACATTGAGAAAGACTTGGGGAAAATAAAAATTGGAACCTATTTAATCAACTAGAAATGTTTAGCTCCAGTTTGCCACATTGCCACAAGCTCTTCCCAAATCCCTTTGTAAAATATTTATCTCATTTGCTCACGCATGCCACAGCTCAGGATTGGGAGAGGGTAAATACCGCTGTGGATAAGAACAGTGATTGTAGCCTCACGGCACCACTTGTGAAATCTCATATTTCAGGACTCTTTAATATTTGATGCGCACTCTCGTAAAACACAATATAAGTAACATTTAAATGTTTACAAACGATTGTGTAAGCAAACAGAACCGTGGCGCTCGGAAATCGAGATCTTAATGTTAAACTACAAGGAGATACGGTGAGGCGGAGACAGCACACACAGATTGTGTATATATACAGTCTGTTCTGGGGTGTTTACAGTACCTCCTGCTGTGCTGACAAAACTCTCCCACCTACCCATCCTTCTGGCCACACATTCTTCCTTCCCTTGCTTCACTTTTCCTCCCGAGGAATGAGGAAAGGCTGCACACCAAAATAACCCACAAATCAGCTGACACGCTCCATCACAGCCAAACTAACCACAAGACCGGCCGCTGCATGGTTCTTTGTTATTTAAAGCGTTTAAGCATTTATTTTTATTTTTTTTTTTTTATCTGTCGTCTGCGGCCATTGCTGCTCTGCTTTGGGTGCATGATAATGTAGCCGACATAATCCAGTGGAGAACCTCATTATAAAAAAAAAGAAAAAAGAAGTGGGTTGGGGTCCGTGTAGGGTTCTTGCTGAGCCACTCTGGGATGCGAGTGGCTTCATCTAAGAGGATAAAACGGCCGGCTTGAAAGGGAAAGGCACTGGCAGAGAGGCAGTCTAGGCTGATGACACAAGCTTGAGTCACGTTTTATGGATGCTACAAAATAAAAATAGATTGGTTTGGTTTGCAGGTGTTGAGCTTCCTTCCTGCTATTCATGTTTATGAGCGCAGATTAAAAATGACTTCCTCCGTCCAGCAGAATTGAGCTCATTTGCCTGTTTTTACGAGCCAGCCTCTCCTTGTTAATTCAGTCCATCGACTCAAACCAAAACAATTTAAATCTCACGGAACGTGCTTGTGAATTTTACACCCCTGTTATAGTTTTTTCACCTTCCCTCAGCGCCCCCTCCTCACTCATTCGATCGCTCTCAAATGGCCAATGAGGATGGCGGAATAAGTCATGTCCACAGCACAGTAGCCACATGCACGAATTTACCCAGCAACAAGGACAGGCAGCACATAGAGCAAAAGGCAGCCAACAACGCGGTTGTACACCAACTGATCAACCCTGTCAAAGCAAAGCAGGAACTCATTCACTCCTTCACTGACACAGTCAGTCAATCAGTCAGTAATCCACCCAACCAGAGTCTGAGTGAATACCTGGTGGTGGTAACTGCCCTCCCTTCGGTATGAGGTCTAAACAGAGAGAGGGTCAGAGGGACAAGGTCAGGGAGGGGTTAATATAGAATAGGATAGAAGAGAATAGAATGAGATAGAAGAGAAGAGGCATTTAATTTAAGGATAATTCCTGTTTATTATAACATGGGTCTAAATTATATAGGTTTGACCATCACTCCTGATAATAACATTGTACTCAAAAATTCATTGCTGAGATCTGGGGACCGTCAAGTCTGACAGAGAAAGAAACACAAGCAGCTGGACAAGCAGACAGGTTTTATAGGATAAAGATGTTTTTTTCTAGTTTTTTTTATTATATAGAATAAAGAGTCAGAAATCTCAAAAATGTGGCTGTTTGTTTATCATCATGTCTGTAGCTCTCAGCCCTACGTGTTCTGGTTCATACTGAAGTGAAAAACAGTCACAAATACATAGTTCAATTTTTAACAAGGGCTCAGTGATTTCCTGGGTACTATAGTTTTTAGTAAACATTACTTAAACAAGTGAAAATTGTGCATTTGTTGGGGACTATTTTAGGTTGCTGATTAATTCACATTAGGCGCTATAGTAAGTATTTAAGCCAGCAGGAGAGTGTATGTGGGACTGAAACAAAATAAACTACAGTGTGTGTGTGTGTGTGTTCATGGTAATGACGGTGAAAGTGGATCAGGCTTCAGATACACAGACAATATTTGTCAGTAGGATCATTTCATTGTTGGTCATTTCATGGGATTTGTTGACGATACAAAATATATAGAATATTTCCAGTTTTATCCTTTATACAAAGCCCAAGGATAGTTAGATTTAGAGAAACCAAAAGGGGAAAGGTAGATTTTTACACACACTTTGCATCCATCACAGCCTCGTTCAACTTACTGTAGCTGTGCACACACAGTTACCAACCGTTAGCGATATTTCAAATGCGTTTACTTTTGCTTTTACGTCCAAACAATGATTGTTTACAACCTGTTTGACCCTATTAGACTTTGCTGTATGTCACCATGTTCCCAAATCTAAACAATACTACTTCAGTGAGTACAATGTTATCATAATCAGTAGAAATGATGGCCAGCACTATGAAAATAGGACTCAAGTTGTAATCAACTTTCCCTTTTATGAACCTTAAAGTATTATCTCTTAAGGTTTATAAAATATGTCTGTGGCCAACTGTCTTTGACTGGTAGAACTGAGATTCATTTAGATTAAAAAGTGAATTAGTTCCAGTGTTTTCCCAGTAAGTCAAGTAACTTTATTTTGGGTGGTGAAATGTAAACGTGGTTGTACTTGATCAAATTCAGAAGATCAGAAAGCTGGTTTACAGCCAGCCATATGCCACCAGTTATTATGGAGTCAAAACATCTTACTGCTTCACTTTTGGTTTTCTTACCCAGAACAGCAAATTTTCTTGTTCCATCACGATATTCGTCAGGAGCACCAAAAACATTGTACAGATTTGTAAAGATTTTCTTTTTCTTTTTTTTCTCCCACAGCTCACACAGAGGGAATATTTTACTGATGGTCGAACCCTTCAAGCTTTCTTTGATCTCTGAACAGAAATATTCTGTGTATTGGTTTATTCAAAGCATTAGGGAGACTCCTTTGCTGGGTATCAAAAGTTGCTTGACCAGAATAAGACCTTACGTAAGTTTTCTCTGCCGCTGAACATGGTTTCTTGCTGGGAGGAGGCTGCTGGTGATGATAGTCACTAGCCAAGAGCTTCAGCCATCGTTGCATTTACAAGACAAGAGTTTGGAGTACGCCCTCTAGACAGCACTACTTCTTCATTATCTAATGCTGAATGGGGGTCAGACTGGACATTACAGTGAGGTTAGGATGCTAACTTCACCAGAAGAAAAGAAGTGACAGAAATAGATGGAAAACAAGCGCTAACATTGGCGTTACTTTCCACCTCTGGAGACGGCTCTTTGGAGTAAAAGGAATCAAATTTGATGCTGAACTCACAACATCTTTGCTGGACTGGTAAGTAAACAGCTGTTAATGCTAACGCTGGCTACGTAGCGATAGCAAAAAGAAATACATATAGCTCCTTTAACCAGAGTGTGATATGAAATGTGATACCCACTTCAAGATTACAGTATTCTGAACAAAGTGGAGCCACTTCAGAATGAATGAGTTTATCCAGCTTATTGCTTGTTTACTACTTCACTGACTGCAGTGGCACAAGCAGCTGTTGTGCTGGCGTCATGCACTGCATCGTGTCCACCAGAACAATCTGACTCGATCAAAGCAGCTGGTTAGCGATCCATTACACACACATGCTCATTTGAAATGATTGATTTTTATTTAACCTCAAATTAACTGATGTTGAGTGAATGCTACTGTTGTGAAAGGGCCAACATCACCCGAAGGTTCACTTCCAGTACACTGAGCCCTGCCTATTCCTCTCAGCCGATTAGTCTTTGCAGCATGCATGATTAGCAATGACCACGGGCTATTGGGCTGCGAGAAAACAAATGAGTAAGGCCCGGACAGATGGCATTCAATTTTTCTGACCTGAAGGAATAACTTAACACAATTGATTTGCTGTGTGATGTGTCACATATTCAGAAACCTGGTTATGTAATCTTAGTAGAAATCTCACAGTAGATTTGGTTTCTGGGATAATGTTAAGGTGAAGCAGTGATGTTTGGGTATTTTGGGTTGAGACTTAACATCCCAAGAGTGAGGGAACAGCTGATTAGTAGAACAAAGAGTAGAAAGAGGGGATAGAAGAAGGAGAGGAGAAATCCTTGGTGGTAAAAAACAAAACAAAAAAAAACAAAACAACAGCATGTGACAGGGATAGAGTTGGACGTTTGAGAGTCTTACCTTGGAGCGAGTTTTGAAGGTCCTAAAGGCGCCAGTTTTGAAGATGACCCTGTTCCTCTTACACAAAATGAAGGCCACCATGCCGATCACCACCACCAACAGAAAGAGAGGCGTCAAAACAGCCATGATCCACAGGTTGCTGGGCGGCGTCTTTACCACAGCTATAAACATACAACCATTATTCATCAGAGTGTGATTGTGCGTTCATTCATTCAAAAGAGCTGTACATGGTCTGGACAGAGCCAGGCTAGCTGCCCCCCCCCCCCGTTTCCAGTATTGATCAGCTAGACCAACCGTTTCCTGGATGTACATTGGTATTTAGTGCACAAACATGAGAGTGGTATAAATGCTTTCATATAATTCTCAGCAAGAAAGCACATGTGTATTTCCTTAAACAGAACTACTGCTTTAAACTGGACATTTGAATTATAATACATGATAAACAAAAAACAGAAATGTAGTAAGAAAACAGCTCTGTACGACATAAAAAAAAAACTTGCCTAAACCTAAAGTTTTTAACTCAAAAATGTTCCTAATAATTTCTTTAAGCTTCTCTGTCCCAGAACAGTTTGCCAAAGGGATGTTTTCATTATAAGGACTAATGCAGTTTGTTTTCCACTGATCCTGTAAAGGCAAACTAAATGAATTTTACAAGAACACTGTGTTCAGTTTCTGGCCTGAGCACTGTTAGGAGGAGCTGTGGAGAGGGGCTGATAGTAGTTGGTGTCTCTCCAGTTTGTTAATTATAGATTCTGGGGAAATGTAAGGGAGAAGAGGTGAGAGGGAACACGTTGTCCCTTCCAGCAGCTACAGTGTGAATATTGTCTGACGGCCATCTAACAAAAAAAAAACTTGACATTAGATAACAACGAGGAAATACAATCTTTGATTTTGAATTTGTGAATTTGAATCTGTATTGACATTCTAAAGCTTTATTGGATGCATAGGGCATTATGGAAATTTATGGAAATTTATGGAAAACCCAAATGCTACGGAACGTCACTGTAAGCCAAGACTGTTACGCTTCAGTTCAGCAGATAAACCCTAAAGAGCAATTACACTGGAAGTGTTCACTGGGACCTCAACCAGCGGCTGAATGAGAAATGGGAGTTGACCGCGCATCTATAATATCTATGCACACAAAGTATGTATTAATGGCTAAATACAAAAAATAAGTTAAAGAAAATCTGTAAATATGTGAGTAAATGTGCAAAAGAAAAACAAATATGATTCATACTTTGGTTCCGTGTATTACACATTACTTTAGAAAGTTAACCGAATAGTTAGACATTTTTTGGGGAATACACTTATTTGCTTTCTCTCCCAGCGTTATCTGAGAGGATTGATACAACTAACATATGTGGACAATGAATATGTAGGTGGGCCCAGCAGCCAGTTAGCTTAGCTTAGCAGGCAGACTAGAACCAGCTGGCCTGGCTGTGACTGAAGCTCACGAAATCCACCTACCAGCAGCTCTGAAGCTTTCTAATTCATATGTTTACTTTGCATTGTGTCTCTTGTGCTTGATTTGCTTGGTCCCTCACACTTATGATATAGTAATATACAGTATGACACCGGTGCAGTGAGATAACAAGCTTACGTTCAGCCTGCACTTGTACGAAGTACCCCAGCGTCAGAGCCATGGTCTGGGAGTCCAGACTGCTGAGGGTCTTTGCAGCGGTGGTTCCAGTGATGGGTGCTCCGTTCAGCTGGGCGTAGTAGGTCATCTCCGCTGGGTTCTTGGGACCAGGCAGTCGACGCATGCTCACCATCTGGGAGAGTAGTGATAACGTGTCTAACATTGCAGCCTGATACTGGACTACACAGAGATACATCAACGACACTTAACAACGCTGGATTCATTTTTTCAAAAGAAAGTTTTAGCCATAGTTTATTTTAAATACAGAGCTCAACATATCATCTATGGACAGATTTAATACAAAATCCTTTATCTCCTCAAACCAAAAGATTAAAAAAAATCCTTGCTATATCTACAGTGGCCCAAACAAAATTCTGAATTGGCTTGGTTGCTTTGATCATGGCGAACCATTTGCAGCAAGATAACTACACTTGGTGAAGACACTCAAGGATAACTGAGTCACTTGAAATCTCAATTTCATTTTATCGTACATCAAACATCTTCTTTTTTTTTTTTTTTTTAATTTGACGAACACATCACACGATTTAATCAAGTCTGGTAATTTGATTTTGTCATAAAAAGAAGGGATGTGTGTTATTAAATGGCTGGATGATTCCTCCCCTGACTACACCCCGTCCCCCCTCTCTGCCTCTGAGCACCTCCCTCCTCCGTCACTGCAGCCATAAAACTGGTCATCTGTGACTTCCCATTAAACCTTGCGGGCGTGTGAGGCGTAAAGCCCAGGAGGAGTCAATCGTTGTCTTAATTTGCACAATATGGAACAGCGGACAGGGAGGTGACACATACAGAAAATAACACACACACATACACACACACACACAAAACTTTGTACTTCTGTGCTTATGGAGGCCGTCAATTCAAGTAAACTAATTCCCTAATCTTCATCCCACACAACCACCTCAGCTAAATCCTAACACTTTCTAACCCTTTATACAGCGTACCTTGACTTCTTTGTTGGTTTTTTTTCCTACTTTCAAGGCAGCAAGTTGTTTTCATTCCAGTTCACAAAGAAAATCTACTTGCAGAAACCTGTTTAATCACTTCTAAGTGATCAGTCACTTATGAAAATAATTACTGATTAATTTTCTGTCAGTCAAATAATAATTTCAGCTCTAATTCCCATCTGTTTCTGACAATAATAACTCACGAGCACTCATCTTTTTTCATACACATATCAGATAGGAAAGCTTTCAAAACTGCCCTTGCTCAGAAGCAACCAAAGGGTGCTGTCCAGGGTGCTGAAAGTGGAGCTGTCCCGAGTGTTCACTGACTTTCCAGCCGACAACTATCAAACGGATTGCTATCAAATCGGGCGCAGACATTCATGTACCCTTCAGGATGCATTGTAATAACTTTGGTGATCCCATAACATTTCATGTAACGCCCTCATCAGGTCAAAATGAAACCAATACTTTGATTTACCGCCGACTACATGCAAAACTCATGACATTACCTCCAGCCTAAGTTGTACTTTCTATTAGGTGCATGAAAGCATGTTAAAATGCTAAATATGGTGACCATGGTAAATAGCTTCTGCATTTTCACAGTATCACTCTGAGCATGTTAGCATGCTGATGTTAGCTTTTAGCTGAAAGCACTGCCGTTCCAGCAGATCTTAGTATTATTGTATTTTTGCAAAAGTCTCTGCAGTTGGATCCTATTCTGCAACATTACAATCACCATAGCATCCCACAAAATTAAGAAAACTTTGACAGAAACATAAATATAATTACTAAACTGTGATGGATTACCTTTCTCAAGCAAGTTTCAAGAATTTGCAAGTAGAGTTTGTGAACTGGAATAAGTGCAACTCATGATAGAGGGTAGACAATCTGAAAAACCTTTGAAATGGTTAGTAGCTGGAAGTAAAGTAGGATTAAAGTAAAGTCATTTGTGTCACTGTAATTACTAAACCTAATCTTAACTCTAAGATTAACCTTAGACCCGAGTCTGTACCATAAAGACCTTGCAGAAGTGCAGTCTATAATTTTCTTGTTAGCGAAGATGTCATCACTTGGACAGCTGCAAACTGGTTCTTTCAAAGAATAGAAGTAAAAGAATAAACAAAGTATTATCCATCTCCATCATCACAGCAACACACAATAACAGAGAAAAAAAATCCCATTCCCACCTACCTGTACGGTGTAGCCCCCTACAGTGGTGGCCCGCCGGGACCGTGCCGTCCGAGAGCCCTGCCTGCCGGCCACCAGGAAGAGCTCAGCCAGCCGCTGCTCCATCAGGCTGGCGAAGCTCTGGTAGTTGGCCTCCAGGGAGGAACTGTCCACATCCTGGATCACTGTGAGGAGAGACGAGGGAGGACAGAGGAGGGATTTAGGGGGGTAAAGAGGCGTTCAGGCGGGCAAAGAGGGCCAACGGAGGAAACCGGTACGGGGATGGAGGAGGATGGAGTGGGAAGGAAGAGATGAGGCAGGAAGAGAACAGAGGGAGGGAAGGGGAAAAATGGGTGTGAAGGGATGTGTGAAGAGAAGGAGAGTGTGAAGACAGCAGGAGGTGAGAAAAGAAATCAAAGAGAGATCATTCGAGGGCAGTATTGATAGTGAGGAGAACGACGGAGGAGAGAGGGAAAGAAAGAACAAGAGACAGGAGATGGGTGGGATATTAGAGAAGACTGGATGATCGTCCCTTCCATTTAAAAGCTGTTCATCCACAAACTTCACACACACACACACACACACACACACGGCGGTGTTTGCATCAATCTTGTGCCCAAGTCTCTTACTAGAGGCTATAAGTGAGATGGAGCACTGGACGGACACGGACACACACACACACACACACACACATATAGACACACACTTCAGCATCATTCACACCCGGGCGTGATGTGATGTGAAGCGATCTCTCCCTCTGCCCCAGTCAGGAAGCTGTGAATTATACATCAATAGGTTTTCCCAGGAACAGAGCAGCTAAAGACACCGAGCACAGAGAGGGAGCGAGAGAGGGAATGGGTGTTAAGGAGTGTGTGTGTGTGTGTGTGTGTGTGTGTGTGGAGAACCAATACTATTGTGCTGAATTGCACAACAAGCATTTAACTAACTGCTGTTTAGTCCAGTCGATGCAGCTCTTTATTACCTCTGATCAGCCAGTAGCACTTTTCTGTGAGTGTGTGTGAGTGTGTGGGAGTGCGTGTGTGTGCATGTGTGTATGCGCGTGCGTAAGAGCAATTTACCTGTTATCACCCAGTAGTTCTTGGTTGCCATCGACGTGTTGAGATTATGGTATTCAAGGGCTGGAGAGAGAAAGAGAAACTTATAGTTATCTGAAGTTTTTAGAAAGTCTAGTTTAAGACTTTCGTCTCGACGCCTGGAAATGAATGTGAGGAACCAAACAACTTTTCAATGCATTTCTTAAACCGCACATGCACTTCCTACCTATTTTCTTTTTCTTTACTAACATCTGAAGGTATGAATCTGGCTTAAAATGTCAGATTGTTGGGTAACATCATGACCATATTAACCTGGTAGGGGGACCCCCCCCCGACCTACTGCCCTCTGTCTGTTATTGGACCCCGTCTCCTCCAAGTTCCCATTAAGTACAGTGTACACTGCAGAAACCCTGTCTCCCAGAAATTACATTTATATACCACAAAATTGCTAAATGAGGAACTATTTTGTGTTGGAAACATACCGTGATTTCTCTTTGTGGGTGCATTCAGGATGTAACTGACCAAGTTAGACAGGAATTTTAATCGTGTGCTAAAAAATATATCGAAAATTTTTCATGTGTCTAACTCAAACTACCAAAGTCTTATAAAAAACCTCAGTAATGAGCTAAATATGCCCTTAACTTGTGTATCTTGATTCTTCTGAGTCAAGTTTAGACTGGATTACTTTGATTAAAAGCTTTTTAGAGAAGCGCTGCAGCCTTGTAAATGTGACAGCGCTGTTTGTGTGCTGAAGCGACAGATCTGCAGAGGAGGAGTTTTTTAACATTGGCCCTTGGCACAGATGATAAAATCCTTGTCAGGTTTCATTATCAACCTTTACGTTTTTTACCGCTCACTGTCAACTTCCCCTATCCATCTACACCGGCTCCCGCCCTTCCTTTTCGCCTGCGTGCCTCTGTACCTGTTTCATTCTCTACCTGTTTACCTGTCAGCCTATTCATTTCCTAAAATGCCTGCTCCTTTCCATCCAATCGACTGTCTCCTCCTGTCTTTCTCTACTCATTATCACTCCCTCAGTCCGTCGGCCTCTTTCCGTGTCCTATTCGTCTGGCAGCCTATCTATCCTTATTTCCCATCTGCCTGTTTTACCATCTGTCTCCACCTAACTCCTCCGAGCTGGCCGTCTGCCGAGGGTTGTGTTTAGCTCGAGTCAATGGTGTTGCAGCAGCGGTAGCTGTTAATACCAGCCAGCGTTTTCTGCTCAGCTCTCTGACTATCTGCTCCCGCCTCCATGGTGCATCTGTACGTGAACGCATTTACATTCACCGCGCTCTTCTCCAACCTAAACAAGCTCACAGCACCGAGGTGCTCAGGTTCAGACCCTGTGGAGAATCTGTTCACTCGTCAGACAGACACAGTGCATTCATTTCATCAACGCACCAGCTGGGAGATGTAGTTGCATAATTCCAAAAGAGAGAGAAAAATAGAAAATGCTCCCAAAACAATGATAATAATAAACAAATATAAATAATAGGTTTAAGGCTGATGCTGTCATTATTCCGTGTTTTCCATTTTAGCAACACATCCAGGAAATAACCCAAACAGTGTGTTTAACATGTTTTTAACATTACTACCCTGTCTGTGACCGAAGCACATTAGTTCAAGCGACAAATCCCTCTAGCAGCTGATTAAGGAAGATGTCAGTTGACGTTGTTATAGATCAACAAAGTCTGCAGGGAGGAGGTCTGGGTGCATGGAGGAGCAACAAAACATCAGACTTTAACACATGAGACCACTGTTCGTTTCCGTTTCCAACCGACGGTCAATAATGTTTTTTCAAAGCATGACCATGTGTTTATTACTGTAACCACGGTGATGAAGGTCAACAGAGTACTTATTCTAACCCAAACCAGGATCTTTCCCTAAACCTATCCGGACTTCAACTATAGCATTGCCATGACGACAGGTTTAATAATCTAATGCATATTGTGCATAAGAGGACAGGAAAAACCGAGACTCATTAATTACTCACTAACCCATGGCCGCTGCAGTTAGGACTAAACCTATGCGGTACGCACACTACCAGGTGAGCCACCGCGGCGCCCGTTACTTATCTCATTTTAATAACTATCATATAACTAACACTATATCACAACTTCCTTTGGCTGCCCATTTTTTTTTTGCAGAGTCAGTGTATACATTTGAATTTGCTGTTTGTTGTTGGGTGGGAAGTGGAACGGAGACCTGCTGTGCTGTTTCTCCTCTGAAGTAAAGATCATGAATGATTCTCCTGTTCAGTTTGGCACAGATTTCTCTCCCGTTAAACGGCTACATGATGTAGACACGGAGGCAGCCGCCTGCCCATTGATTCCTTTGGATATAAACAGACAGTGAAGGTCAATATTCAGGCTGCTTTGATCACATGAGAAGTGATCATCCTTTTGTGCTCTCAGTGTAACCAAAGTCAGTGTGTCTATACCAATAAATGTCTGGACTATTCACTGTTATCACTGACGTGTCTATGAATTCTTGTTATGATTATATTTGCTCAGTGTTTCATGCTTGGTGAAACAACCTGTTTTTAAAGGGAGCAGTCTGGGTTTTTATGGCGATTCCAAGTATGTTTGGATGTGACCACGTGAAGTGTGATGTTTGGGTGTTTTGGGAGCACGCACAGATAGATACTAATCTAATCTCAACAGGCTAAAATTAGCTCATTCAGGGGACATGGACAACAGATTGCCTTTGGCATGATTCAGATGATAGGAGCTGTACAGCTGTTTGCCCTTTTAAAATCTCACAGATGGCATAAGAGGTTGGAGTGGAATATAAACAGAGCTCATGAGGCTCATCTATGGAGTCTATGGTCTTTCACTGTAATGTCTTTAATAGATGTAACTGAATAAAACAAACAACGCCCGCGTGAATTGCTGCAGTAAATAATGTTAAGTGTGATTTATGTCTATTATGATACAGCTTTTATTTTTCATTCAGTTTCCCTATGATAGCTGACACTGGTAACTACAGTACGTTTAAGGGGAGATTGCAGCTTTAAATATTGAAAATAGACACAGCTGAGGGAGCTGACATTTTCAGTATTTAACCACAAGCATGATCTCCCTCTAACTTTAAAGCACCACTAATCAGTTATAGAGTTTCACAACAAGCTGAACATCACGCACCCGTTTGACATAAATGTGTTAGGAGATAGTTCCCTATTTCCACATCCAGCAGACATGGAGCCCCATTACGTTCATTTGGAGTCAAAGTTTATTTCTGTCTGGTGAATGCTCAATATTAAGAAAAAGAAAAGAAATTACACAATCTCTGTGTTGGAAATAAAAGAATAATTACAAGCAATGTCTGCTGACTTCTATTTGTGCTCCTGTTACACTATATTTGAGCGTGTCACATAAGCACGATGATGTCTTTAAAGCCAACGACTGAGAGAAAATTCTGTGTGTAATTCTCTTGTAATTATTGGCTGCTGTTCTACAACAGTTATGACTTTAACTCTGCTTTTAGCTCCACTATGTTCAGCAGCTAGTTGCTTGCTCTGCCTGTCTGTCTGCCTGTCTGTCTGTTTGGTGATGGCAGCAGACAGGGGATGCATCAAAGCTTCACAGGGGTTATGATTCTGTATGGATTCATCACGAGGCACAACCCCTTTCACATTATAGTCATTCGAGCCATTGCTTATATTGATTATGTTTTGAAAGTCCAGTTCTTTGTGCGCCCCCAATTATCGACCTAGAAAAACAAACAGTAGGTAATTCTGTAGGAGATAGGATTGAAACACGAGGCTCCCATGATAATATATTATAGTCTGATATCCTCCTCCACTTACACAATATGAAGTGATCTTGAATTACCCCCTGTGAGAAGCAGGTCAAACATACGCTAAGTCAGGAATCATGCACTGCCCTGTAGTGGATTCAGTGGGTCTCAGTTTAGCACCCTACATATGCTGCGTAAGTCTGTCTCAGCCCGGCAGCACACTGCTGCACAGAATAAGCAGGAGAAGAACTGTTATGTAATGACTATAAAATTAGCATTAGGAGACCAGACTCTTCCTAATGTCCAGCTCTGTGGGAAGAAAACAAGCAGCGGTGGGCTGGGGTTAGGTCATTTTCTGTCCCCTCTTTGAGCTGTAAATATATTTATTTATCCCCTCTTGTGTAAATACTGAAATCCTCCCCTGCTTGCAGCTCTACCATCCCACCTCCAACCTCTGTCTGTTCAGACTTTCAAGACTGAAATAAAGCTCTGAGTGCAAAGATCTTTTTTTAGGATTCAAGCTCAGCTCAGTGCGCTCGTTCCCTTCCTGCTGCTGAAAAGCTCACAAAAACTCATGGATGCATGGATGTGGGCATTGTCACTATCCTCCTTACATTTTCAAGTCAACCATCACAGCCTGAGGGTAACACTAAAGCTAGTTATAAAAAAGAAAAAAAAGAAAAACATGCCTCCCTCACACTCTTCTGGCACATTAGTGGGTTATGATTTTTTTTGCTGTTACAATGTTTTGATGCAAGACGCACATCATCAGCATGTCCGAGTCTATTAGGTGTTTACCTTGGAGAAATATAGTGCAAACGGTGCAAGAAATGAAGTAACAGAGGGAGGAAATGAGCCAATACAAGTGAAAGAGATGATGAAAGATTTCTAGGTCTAAAGAGTCACCTTCTGAACTATAAATGAACATAGACAGTGATGGAGGGAAAATCTTTCCATTTTGTCAAAGTAAGCTAAAATGATACCCATTAGGACACAATGTCAAGTCAGTGGAATGTTAACACCGATCCTCTTTTGCACTATATGCTCTTAGACGTCAGTTTAGATAAAACTCTTCAAATGGCAGCCACACATTATGCTGTGTTTGATACAGTTGTGGAAATGAGCTCGGGCGCGGTGCATCAGCACAACAGCAGCACTTAGCTAAACATCTCAAATTGTATATTTATGTTAAACATTTACTCTGTTGGAGCCACTTTTAAACAGCCCACTCGTTTTTTTTGCTTCCAGCCCTCTGTAAATAATTACACATTCATCATACTTGTCCACCAGTGCCGCTGAGAAGATGACTTGGAGGTATATCAAGTGAATGAGTATTGAGCAAGCACCCGGACTGAACTGTAATTTGTTGGCTAGTCACCGTTAATTGTGGGTTATACAATGTTAGCCAAGTCTTTATAAGAAGCCTGAAGAGCAAAGCAAATCGTTGTTGCTTTTGATTGCTCAGAAATGAGCAATGAGTGAAATGTCCACAAGCAGTGGAGCTGACTCATGTGGCTGCTGGCTGCTCACAACATCCAGACAAGTTACCTGATGACTTCACTTTGCATTTGAATACATGCAACTGTAATGTGATCATCAGACCTGTTTGGATTAAACATAAAGTCCTTTAAATGTATGTTTAATGGTATTAACTGTACCGATTTGCTATCAAATGAAGTCAACACATTAAAGGGTAAATTCAACTAAATACCAAAAATAAAACCATTCATTTTCTCAGTTACATCTAGTGGCATCTACCCATGCATGTAGTGTTGGTTTTACTGGGCCAAGATTTAAGATCAGAGTCGGATTTCTCACTTGTAAGTCGCTTTGGATAAAAGCGTCTGCCAAATGAATGAATGCAAATGTAAATGTAAATGATTTCTGCCTCCACTCCAACACAGTGGAAATGAATGGAATTTAGTTTTTGGTTCTGGTGGCGCAGCAGCTGGGTGATGTGATACACATCGCCGCTGCTGGTTTCACGCCATTCCACTGACAAGGAATTTGCAGCACCGTGGAAAGAAGCTTTGCAATGCACCAACAAAGGTGCTAACTGAACACATCAGATGGTTTGTTACACAGAACCATCCGGGAAGGCTTCTTTGGAAACTGTTTGGAAAAGGGCGGGCGCTCTCAAAAACGTAGCAGGAGAGCACTGACAAAAAAAAATAAATGCAACACAACAACAACAAAACGCAGTCTGAGGAGATTTAAAAACTAGTTAGCATCTTTATGAGGAAAATTCGCACATAAAAGTAATTCTTTGGAATATCTAAACAGTCGCTTCTCCATAGCTGTTCTTCCTACAGCAAGATAATGAGCCAAAACACTAGCTGAAAAGAACCAGATGGTGGTTTCTCAGTCTCCAGACTTACGGAGCTGGTTTGGGATGAACTGGACAAAAGGTGAAAGAAAAGACATTTGTGGGAACTTCTGCAACAAACTTTCTGAACAATGTTTAATTTCCATCATAGAAAGAATGTCACAAGTTTGTTCAGCTGCTGAATGAGTCAAATATTTAGATTAAATTTAGTTCAACAAGATACGATGATTCCTTGTTTTTAAAATTTCCAATTGTTTATTTGTTCTATGGTTTACTAAAAAAAACAAAAAAACAAGACATTATGTAAATTTAAATAACAGCTGGAAAAATTGAGGTGTTCTTAAACTTTTGATCTGCCGTGTATGAGTCATCACCACAGCTGGAACCTTAGGTAACCTGGGTGTACTTACGCTCAGCGATGACCAGGGGTGGGTAGAACAGGAAGTAGCCCACCAGCTCAGCAGTCAGCTGGTTGAGGAGACCGCTGGAGATTGTCCCGTTAAGAATCGCGTCCTGATTCTTCACCACGTACACCAGAGTGACCGACGGAGAGCCCGGTTCCTGGGAAACGCTCTGGATCTGAGGATGAACACACAATAAGATTTTAATATTTAATTTCAATCCACCATTCAAATACATCACTATGTGCTCCATAGGTGCAATATTGGAAGGATTATTCAATTCTTTATATATGGCAAACACACAAACAGGCAGCAGTAGGCACATGTATAATTCAGACATTCATACAGAAATATCTAATGGTATCATACCGAATGTCTAAGATGCCCATGAAGAATGCATAACAGAGCCCCAGACACAGTATGACACTTTGAATGAACAATGTTTTTTCTTTCTATAATAAGACCTGTGTGGTGCTCTGAAAATAATGGGACTGAGTCACCACAGTAAAGTGGATGATGATACAAGATACGAGGAATTCCTATTACATTCTTCCACGCGCATCAATATTTCAGAGGATGAATTATGAATGGACCCTATATCTGCCTCTGCTTGCTGAGACCTACTTTATGATTATGATGGTGTGTGCATGTACATGTATATGCTGCAGTCATGAGAATACCTTGACAGCCAGAGAGAGGGACAGAAAATGAAGGAAAGAAGCAGAGAACAAAAGGAGGAAGGAGAACCAAAAATGTTTACACATAAATCGGCGCTATAGAAGAATGAGCTTTGATTGCATCTTTGTAAATAAACCATCATGTACCTCGACAGTCACATATTGCTGCTCTACCAGGCATGTGAAAAACTTGTACTGCTGTAGGTATCCAGAATTTTACCAAGATCTTTATGACTCATGTCATCCTGATTGGCATGTTGCATGCAAATAACGACATCCTTGGCTGTCAGCATGTTGCACTAAGAATAGCATCTGAAACCATGCAGTACCTCCACAGTGAGCCTGTTGTAGGTCTCCAGCACTTTGTCCTGAGCTTCATCAAAGGCGTTCTCAAGCCTCTGCTCCAACATCTGGACAAAACTGCAGGAGTAGACGTTGTCTGTCGGGCCGACGAACCTCAACACTGTGGTGGAACAGAAAAGCATTCTTTTGAAGCATACACATTTCATTTCTCACACTTCCACACGGTGAGTTATATACAGAAGAGCAACATGAAGTGTGTCATGAAGCTTGATTTGGGAAAGTCTGACATTTTTGCTTTGACATAACATATGTGTGGTTTCCAGCAGAATTGTTTATCTATTATCACCCCCAAAATTTGATTTCAGATACTTATTCAATTTCATCCTCACTTATAAGCTTGCTTTGTAAACTTGTTAAACTACCAAAAATGATTAATTTACTTGCTTTTTAAATATCACATCAAAATGAAATTTAAAAATCTTTTTCCACAGTATCCAAAAGTTCCAGCAAAAAGAAAATAAATTTGCTTCATCAGCAAATAAAGTTAATCTTTATGTTCATGTACAAAATTCACAATAATGGGCCTAACACAAAGCCTTGAGGAATCCCACAAGAATGAATTTGAAAAATTTTGAATTTATTGTACTTATCTGAACATACCTTACACAGCTGGCACCAAAAGGACATTAAATTTGAGTTGGAAATGAAAATCAGGTTGACGTCAAAACCGAACGTTGGCCGATGTGACATTTAGTGGATGATTTGCACGCATTTAAAAAAAATATATATATATATATATTAACGTCATTGGTCGTCAGTATTCTACATCAAACTGACGTTGGCGTTGGACGTTGTCCTGGCATAGAATACTGGTCACCTGACGCCACAACCAACATTCAACCAATTATTAATGTCACACGACGTTGGTGGCCAGCTGCGTGCCTACTGCTTTATGTTCAGATAAATACTATAAGATACCTATTTTTCAGGTAGCTACTTGATCAGGAGTGTGCAACCCTCTTATATCACATATTTCTAACATCAAGCAATATTATTACATCAAGTAATCCCCCCCCCTCGTATATTTGTTATTTTCTATTGAGTTCCATTGAAGTCATTATTATTATTTACAGTTCAATGTATCTGCAACAATCTACTTCATCGAGCTGTATGTGGAAGCTGTATCTAGGGCTGGGTTTTAGGTATTAAAGAAAGTAGCGCTCTAGATAGATGTTGTCTGTGTGACCGATAAACCTAAGCAGACAGAGAAAGAGGATTATCGCCACTATCTAGAATGAGAACAACTAAAAAGAGTTGTCTGTCAGCATCACACAGCTCCACACTGGGAGGAACAGGGTAAACAATATTGAGTCCATCAGCAGATTATAGAGGATGTTATTAACGTTGTCTCAGTCCTTTTACCGCAGTTGCCCTCCATTCTTTCTCTGCACTCTGTCTTCCTCTTTGTTTTTGTTTTTTTTAAAACCTCTAAAAGGACAGGGATAGGAGAGGTAGAACAATATTCTGACCTAAATTCAAAAAGCTGTGGTGCTCATGAGTGCAGGCTTCATCTCTCATCAAAAAAAGTATTTTTCTGCCTCCGCTGGTCTCTTAGTCTGCAACACATTGCAGGCACAAACCCTGTTGACCCAGTTGGTAATCGTATGCAAATTGTCCTGTGGATGGTAAATTGGCATATACTGTGTATTTATGGTTTATGAGCTGAACACGTGCTGCTTCAAGTGCCTACTTCATACACAGCTGCAAACTAACATGGGAAAGTCTTTACTGCGGTATAAATCACACTACAAGCAAAGAGATGTGTCATTTGGCCATTTACCATAGTTCAGTTGGCATTACAACATTGCACCAATTTAGGTCAGTTTTTTTCCACTGACATACACATAATTATTATAATTGTTTGTGATGACTGTGATTATTAAAACCATCATGTGCAGGATTTCCAGCCACTGGCAGGACGTGTTAATATTAAAAATAAGCTCCCTGACATGGATCCAAAATACGAGATGACTGGGTTGAGAGCAGCACATGGACTGCAAAACAAAAATGTATGTTATCAGAATAATTTCAAGCATATATATGATAATCTAAATTTTTTTTGGCCACTTAGGGGCGGCGGAAAATGTTGCAAACACAACATTGTATACTTCTGTAGGTAACACTAAGGCATGTTACTTTAGTCCGTCACCTAATGTGCCATACGTTCAGTAACATACATTCTTTATCAACATAAATGAGGTATAATATTTATATTGTGCATAGCAGTATTATCCACTGTCAACTTATTTCAAGAGTGTCCCCACAAGATCCTGTAAACTATTGCATGATTAATGTTTTTTGGATGCCCAGACAGTTTCTGTTTGTACTGAAGTGACAGCCGATGTTATAATAATCTCTTCAAGTCATACAACCAAGGCACATTACGTCTCCGTGGCTTTGATGCAGACTGAAATGTGATCCTTTGGTGATACGCAACTGCAGGTAATTCAGTATTCTGCAGTACTCAGTGCTGTTGAATGTTTTCCCTGGTGTATGCAGTTCATTTAAGTCAACAACATGGTAGTAGCTGAAACTTGGTTATGATGGTTGTGATGATATGATTATGTTTCTCTGTATGCATTATGTTGCATGTATCTCAGCACAGTGTCATATTTTCAAGGTGGGGTGGCCTTTGGTTGGATGATATCTTTTCATGGGGCCCAAAATCCATGGCGGCGCCCCTGACTATCACAGTTGTTTCACAAAAAATAAAATACAGCTGCCTAACGGTGCTGGAGGAGAGAGTTGACAGTGAACAAAAATATTAAAGACGGAGGCCAAAAACCAAAACAATGACTTGAAAAACACTAAAACACTTGGTTTGTCACTGCTATTTAACTTTACATGTAATTGTTTATATAAAAAATATATAAAATCCATACATAGTGGCTTTACCACAGTAAATAACACAACTGCCAATATCTAACAAGTGAGCTGAATCTAATCTGACCACTGTGAACCAATGTGAATTTGAAAATCTAAAGTAATGGGTTTCCAATCTGCACCTACATCAATTTGTTAATTGCACTGATTTTCCTTCCCTTGTTCCCACAAGACTTGATTTAGATGTGTGTGTGTGTGTGTATGTGCGCGTGTGTGTGTTCACACGCGTGCGCACACAGAAATGTGTTTTTTTAAGAGGCTTAAGAGGCTGACTAAATGAATGGACCAATTTGCCTTTGCTCTGCAATCATGGGAGTTCGTATGGGATTTAGGGTATCAGAGAAGAGTAAAGGAGAGCAGACATGTAATCAGAATTTTCTAATTTTGTCTCTGCTCTACTCTTCCCATGTGTCTCCCTCCCAGTACTCTCATTGCATTTTCTATCTCTTTGCTCACCCTCTGCTCATATTCTCTCCTTCCTCCTCTCTGTGTATCTCTCACCTCTGCTGTTATTTAACCTTTCACACTTCACCTCCGGTACCAACATCACCAGACCATAAGCTTTTCTGTTTTTTGTCGGATTCGGTTATGTAAAGGTTGTTCTAGCTTATCTTATTTCCCATCAGGTTTTATCACCTGTTTTCAGCTGCAGGTGAATGCTCGGAGTGGGCATCCAGGTTGCCACGGGAACCAGAACTGCCTTAACCAATGGGATATGCTGCCTAATGTCTGACAGCAGCTTGTCAAAACCGTAAACATTCAGCGCCTCAACCACCAAGGAGGAAATGTAGACAGTTTTGCCACTGGTCACATAGTAACCCAGCGTCACGTTGTGGGGGCTGCAGTCATCACGTTCCACCTGAGACACAGAGAGACAAAGAAAAGGAAATATTCAAGATGTTGTCTTCATGGCTGTGTGCAGCTTCTATATCTAAAGGATCTGTGCCTTTTATTTCAAAGCACATACGCTACAAAGGACAAACAGTATCAGAGAAGAAATCAGTGCTACCAGGTAAAACAAGCCCAGAACACTAAACAGCATCCTTTCCTCACACATGTTGTACTTGAGCTATGTGTTTAGAATACGAATGCATCAGATGAATATTTATAATTCTTGTTTGTTTTTTGTTTTTTTTAAACCAAATCTGCCCTGAGGGCATATTTTAGCTTGAGCCTACAACAGTCATAAATCTGAGTAACTGTGTCCTGGAAAAACACATACAGACAACAATCAGTGGTGAGTCAAGGCTTGTATTTCTGGAGCTATAAACCGCCCACCTTCCTCTACCCTCTACCTTCAACTGCTCTGAGCAGCTGTGGCTATTGTTACTATGGCTCTTTCTCCTCTGGCAAATTTTTTTCTTGAAAAAAAAAAAAACACGTCCCTCTTAGTGAAACTGTATCTCATTACCACTCCCCCTCCTCTGCTCTCCTCTTGTCTTTGTACCTACAGAAATTAAACAAGACTCACCCTGTTTTTCAAACTATACCTACCTGCCATCTCTATTTAAGCCACTTCCTGTTGCAAGCACTTGCCAAAGCCTGAGGCCCACTTTTTCTCGCAGCCCTTTAGTTTTTAATTACACTCAGCGACACATTCTTTCATTACAACAACCCACCTTTGGGTTTTGCATTTCATTAGAAAATAAAAAGAGAGCTTTCAGATCTTTCATGTTAAGTCTTAACTCAAATGGAATGAGCGAGGAATTAAATTTTAACAATTTCCTTCAGATGTTTTTATGTGCTGCATGTTTTATGTCCTGACTGTAAGAGATTTTATGTCATGTCCTCCTACACCAATAGACTCTCTGGTGTCCATTTAGAAAATGAAGTGATTGATTTCTTATTTTCTTCAGCCCAGCGACGCAATCTTCTAACCATCAAACGTGATGTTTTCCAATGTCAAACAGTTCAATAAAGTTATGATTTTGAGTAACACTTATTTTAACATCCACTAATTATTTTATTACCAGTATATAAATAATTAATAAAGAATAAGTAAATAAATGTTTAATGCTGTTGAGAGTAGATATAAGTGTTTATTAATGTTTTAACATCTACAGCTTCTATGAAGCATCCGAAACAGGAACAATATATAAACAGTATAAAATGTAGTTATCATCAGTCAATATGAAATATCATTATATACGCACATTTATTAAGCAATTAAACACATTTTTGTAGGTTAGATGTTTTTCTGTTTCAATAAAAATATAGGATTAACTGATAAAATGTATTCAAAGCTAATGAGGACATATGTTTATATATATTATCAGGACATATGAGAATAGATAATTATATATTATTACAAATATACTGTGTTATCAAGCAATTATCAAGAGTTATGGCTGCTTCATAATGTAAAAAGGCGTCAGAAACGTTGACAAATACATTATTAACATTTAAAAATATCCTTCTGTTTACAGCTAGATTGTAATGTGTCATAGCAAGTTACAAACAAACAATTATTAATTATTTATATCCCACTTTAAAATGCTAAACTGCAGGGTTACAATAATGTGTCAAGCAGTTTGCACCCGGGAGAAGCTGCAAGGTTGTTTTGCTTTGTAAACTTGAAAAGGAGTGTTGTACTGAATGAAGCCAACCAGACCTGACCTCACCCCTCACCCTCTGCTGTCACTTCTCTCTCCCTGCCAACATTTGAAAGCTGTAAAAAATTTGCAAGCAATTACGGTTAACCACATTGTACAGTGATGCATCACATTAAATACTGCAGCATGCTAATTTCATGCTGTTTGATAGTCCCTGTCTCTGCTGAAGCCAATATTAACATCAACAATGCCTCGAAACAAAACACTGCCTACATATCATGGCTTTAAAACCTCCGGCCAATTTTATACCGTGTTGTTGTCGCTGCTGTCTCTCAACAGACTGATGCAGATTGCCAAATAATAGTGTCTGCGTTATCTGATGGAGAGGATGAGAATTGAGGACTGTGTGTGTGTGTGTGTGTGTGTGTGTGTGTGTGTGTGTGTGTGTGTGTGTGTGTGTGTGTGTGTGAGGCAGGGGGTAGATGAAAGTGGACTGGAGCTTAGAGACACTGAGTCACTCCCAGTGCAGGAGGCTCACAAACAACTGGATAAAAATAGAAAAAGCAGGCAGATGAAGACAGAAGACAGACAGACAGCGAGATGAAGCGAGGCAGGTGGACAGACAGAGAAGCAGGCAGGCGCGACACGCAGACCCACAGACAGGGGAGACAGACAGGTTGGCAGAAAATCAATCGACTTTAACCGAGGGAGCAGCCAGATAGGGGAGATAGAGGAGAGGGGAGCGGTATGAGAAATGTAAATATTGAGAAATATGAGGGAAGAGGGCAAGAGAGCGATCGTTTGAGAGAGGGGGAGAGACACAGAAGATCTGTGAAGAAGAAACAGAAATAGACTCAGTTGAAAAGGAACATAAGGGAGGTTGGACAAATCAAAACAAAGACAAAAACGACGAGCACAAAGATCAGTGGAACAGAAAGATCCCTTGACTGCACTGCAGGAGAAAATAAATCATTTATTCTAGATTGATTTGCCATTACCACGTGTGAGTGTGTGCGTGAGAGAGGGAAATACAGTGTGAGTGTGTGTGTAATAACCACTCCAAGCAAATGCTGCCTTATTGTTCAACAGGTAATTTCTATTCTGACTTGAACACCGTCTGCATTAGTCACCTCTCTAGCACCACTCAGACGAGTCCTTGCGAGGTAAATGAGCAGGAGTGGAAAATGATGAATACTGTAGAATACTGTAAACTGGTGGCACCGTAAACATGAAGAACCAAGACTGTGGCAAATCTAAAAATGTAAAAGTCTCATCTCATCAGCATCAGAGAGAAAAAGCACTTTGACACCTAATTTACATTCAAAGCACCTGATGTGGTTCGTATTATTGAACTCAAAAGTACAATAGGTATACGATAAGTTAACAATCTACAATTAAACTCTCTGTAGCTTTAAACTCAAATACAAAATTAATTAATTCTATGAGCCACTAACCTGTGTTTACTAGCCACTGAGGTGCACTTACTTGCCAATGAGCTGTGTGTATTAGCCTACAACCTGTGTTTACTGGCAACTTTCTGCTTACACACAAAATTAAATTAATTTCATAGGAGCCACTCGTGCATTTGCCACCTGCGTTTACTAGCAACTGAGCTGAATTTATGAGCTAGCAACGTTTACCGGCCACTGACATGGGTTTACTGAGTGGTGTTTACTAGCTAACTGAGGATACAAGCCATTGACCTGTGTTCGCTAGCCACGGACCTGCATTGACTTGCCACTGAGCTGTGTTTACCAGCCCCAGTCTGTGAGTACGAGCCATTGCTAGCCGCTGTTGTGTAGTTACTGGTCACTGTATACATGGACGTAATCCAAGATGCATATTTCCAAGTTCATAATTGAGTAAAGGCTTGATCCTTAATTAACCTTATCTAGGTTCTAGTCTAAGCTAAGCTAAGTAAATCCTGATAACTTGCTCCATGCACCTGGCCACTGTCCTGTATTTGTTAGCAGCTACATAATGTTTATTAGCAGCTGACATAAATCTACTTGCCACAGATCTGTTTATTACCCAGTTGATTAGTGACTTCTGTCCTGTCTTTATTAGCTATTAACCTGTTTACTAGTCATGGCCCTGTGGTTACAAGCCAGTGAGCTGTGTTTATTAGCCACTGGCCATCGCCGAACGTTGTAAGATGGACTGACCTGCGCGTAGGCAGTGGAGTCATTCAAGGCTCTCTGCAGGGCGTGGCTCAGGCCTTTAGAGAGATTCTGTTTAAGGATCAGGTCCAGGCGGTTCCTGCGCAGCTCGATGGACAAAACTGTGAAGGAAGACATGTTAAAAACTTAGTTTAATGGCTGTGTTCATATATGATTTGTTAGTATCCTGTGATAACTGATAGCTGTTTGTTTGTACCACATGTTTAAACTCACTTTGGCCACACCTATAGCCACAAAAAAATAATCAATTTAAATTAAATGTAGTGCCACATCTTTGTGATGCCCCATATCCCCTTGGCTGCAGGGATTCAGTATACAGTGTCTTGCACAAGGATATTAATTTCAGTAAGATGTATCTGTGGTCACAAGAGCTTGACCTCTGTTTAATGTCTCCTTGGTGACTGTGGGAACCTGATGCCCATTCCTTAGTAATACCACACCGCCTCTGGTAAATGCAATCAAAGGTTACAGTCTCCAGCTTCTTGTTAATCAAACTGTTTACACTCAGGGAAAAGATGCCCTTGTTTTTGTGCAAGTTTTAATTAATTTGTGTGCATGTAATTACAGCTCGGTCACATAATAGGTACATTGTGCCTAAGCTGAAATGGTATTTGAAGTGTATTCATCTTCATTTGTAATCATTTCACAAGAATGGCTAAAGCCTGAAAATAATCTTGAGTATGTTGTTGGTATTTTATATAAAAGACGTGCAGTACCTGAAGTATCAGTAAAGGTTCCCTTTCAGAAACATTTTAAAGTAAGTAAAAAAAATACGATAATAAACGTGTATTTTCTCACTAACCAATGAAAGAGCAGTGCGTATCAAGATGGTTAGCATTAGGGGAAACATCAAACAGAAAATCTGCAAGTAGCAGACGTAAGTAGCACGGTAAGTAGTAGTTAGCATCTTTTATTTGTTTATGCAGTTTGTTAGCTTGTTAGCTTGTAACTTCACGAACCCCCGAACCTCAAAATCCAAGATGGCTGCTCTGCGCATCAACAGAAGGTGTATTTATTAGCACTTCTGTCGTATTTGTGTCTCATTTATCAGTCGTACACACGGTACTGTCCATTAATTTGTTTTCATTGTCTTACTCCAATTAATCCTAGTAGCGGGACATTAGTCTCGTACCTGTTCTGACCCAATACTTCTCGGTCACGTTGCACGGTAGAGGACTTTCCTCTGCAGTGGTGCTGGAGGGAGGTTCTGTGGTCGTGGTTAGAGGTGGTGTGGTGTGTCCCGGGATGAACACAGTGGTGACAGGTACCTTTGTTGTTGAGGTTGTAGTTGTAGTAGTAGTGGTGGTGGTGGCAGCAGTAGTAGTAGCATGTGTAGTAGTAGTAGTAGTAGTAGTGGGAGAAGGAGTAGTAGTAGTAGTAGTAGTGGTGGTGATGGTGGTTGGGGGTACAGTCGTGGTGGTGGTAGGGGCAGGTGTGGTGGTTGTGGTTGTAGTAGGCCGAGTCATGGCCGCTGTGGTCAGTTTGAGGCTCGTCGTTTGCTGCGTGGTCGTAGCAGCGGTGATATTTGGTGGTAATGGCCTTACAGCGCTCACAGTGGTCGCCGCCTGCGTTGTCGCCTCATCGGCGGTCACAGTAAGAGTGGTCGTCGAGGGCGTCGTCATGGTTACCGTCGTCAGCTGAAGGCTGTCGCTGGTCACAGTGTCCTGGCTTGTGTCGTTTGACCCCGCGGTGGGTTCCGGTGGCGTTTGTTGTCTTGCCGTTGTGGATGACGGTAAAGTTGACGCGGCGGTGGGTGATGGAGACGTCCTTATGGTGGTGCTTGATGTGGTTGTGTACCGCGAGGTGTTCCTGGTGCGCACGGGCACGGTGGTGTTCCACTGGTGGGTGGAGAAAGGGCTGGTGACATTGGCAGGAAGTGTGACATCATGGTCGCCCACTGTGGACAGGAGGGACTCGGGGACAGTGGGGAGGTCCCAGGCCGGGAGGCTGCTCACTGACTCCTCTGCAGGGAGGAAAACAAGGTCAAAAATATTAAAGGATAAGTCTGGTGATGTTTTTCTTTTTGTGAACAAATCCCATAAAAAGACCAAAACCAATAATGAATTGATCCTACAGTGCGTTGTCTATGTATCCAAAGCTTGATGTATCTTATTCCTCTGTGACATAGAGAATAAAAAAATATTAAAATTACATCACACCACATCAGTGGCATTTTCAACTGGTGAAATATTCCTTCATTACCGCAAACAGACAGTTGAGTCCAAATTTATTTGGACTGCGGCCATAAATACTGACTATACAAAATGTGTATGAAAATGAATGAGAAACACCCGCCCAACAAATGCACATTTTACCCCTGCCTTGTTGAAAACTATAGTGGCCAGCAGTTTTAAGAAATGGTTTAAAAATTAAACTACATTAGTAGGAATTTATGGGCTTGGGATTGAGGGTAGGAAAGTCTGAAAAATGAGAGAAGGTCTGACACATTTCTAGTCTTTTTATGGCATTTGTTGCTCAGAGAGCGATCTAACATGAGTAGGTTATAGTCAGCTTGAGAATACATAAGGTGAAGTGCGCAGCAGTTTCAATTTTAATAGGAAATATAAATCCAATTTCATTTCTTAGCCAGGCAAGCATTTAAATGCCAGACCTTCATTTAATCCATGTAAATTATCTCTAGACAAAATAAGGTGGAAAGGAGTCTGGAGTGAGCAAGAGGGAGGCAATCAGTCCTTTCAGACTGAGAGAGATCTAAATCCCCTCTTATGCTCCACTCACATCACCACATGAATATGTGTTGTATTGTAACTGTGACGTCAATCACTGTGATAAGAAATACTAGATATTAGCTCTATTGTGGTGGAAGCTAAAATATATGTGGAGGAATTACCTTGCTGAGGACGTCACTCTGTTAGTGTGATGATGGACTGACAGGAAGTGGGGCGACATGGAGGTGGTGGAACGGGACAGGATCATGGATATATTAAGAAAGCTGGATATAGCATCGTCTATGAGCCTTGCTGCCAATCTATCCTTTATCTATTCATCCTTACTTCCATAAAAGTGTTGACAGGAAACCTCCAACTGAAATCAATCAATCAATTTCATATTTCTAAAACTTTCCCACAAACTGGAAAAGTGAGTCCAGTATCCAGTTCCTATAATAAATCCATGGACAGGACATGGGTGAGTGAGGATGATGATGATGATGATGATGATGATGATTACATTGTGATGACAGTGATTCATAATGATGAAGAGTACTTTTATAACAAAGCTCACTGTGTGACGGTGTGCTGAAGGTTCAGTGTAGTCAAAAAAGCCAATTGACTGTTCACTATGTCCCAACCTCTTACTTACTGTTGCTACGCCTGTTGAGCTTTCAAGTCTCACACCAAATATATTCAGTTTTCAAAGACGTTGACACTTTAAATGAGTTTAAATAAATGGTCTTTTTTTTTTCTAGCTCTATCAGCTGTTCGCTGAAATTTTATCAGCTTTATCTAGCTAGCTAATTAATGCTAACCCAAGAAACAAAACCCCGGTAAAGGGATCCTAAATGTCAGTGCTGATAAAAAAAACAAAGTTTAGTCAATTCCTTGCACTTTTGCTTTTGTATTTTTGGTTTTGGAACGGCTTAAAAAAAAAGACACAATGCTTCTTATTACAGTCCCATGTGCATTATTTCTACATGCTGAGAAATCAAAGCTCGACAAGCCTGCTGGTTAATTACGCTGTAAAAAGTCAAAAGCAGAAATATGTTCAAATGACAGACAACTCCACCATACCCAGACTGAAGCTGCTGTTGCTGTTGGACGAGCTGCTGTTGACAGCAACCAGAGAGGCGTTGTCTGATCCTGCTGTCCTAGTGTCTCTGTTACTGGGTGAGGAGGAGGAGGAGGATAAGGAGGAGGAAGGCAAAGAGGATGCTTTTGTCGTAGAGGAGGAAGAGGAAGAAGAGGAGGAGGCCTTGGATGAAGAAGAAGAGGAGCTCTTGGTCCAGGCAGCTTTAGACAGCAGCCCCAACGGTTTTCCCACCACTGGTGCCTGAAGCTCTGCTGTCTCTGCCAGCATGGTGAGGACTGATGAAAAAGCTGCCTGCTCTCTTTGGCCCTCTCCACGCGGACGCAGCCTCTGCTGCCCCAGCCAGGCAGCTGGGTCCCTGGGCATGTTTGGCAGGTCACCCCCCGCCCTGTCCACTGGCCTCCATTCAGCCCCGACTTCAGCCCAGGCACCGGTTCCCCTCATAATCTCAGTCTCTGCAAAGACTTTGCCACCTGCTCGAGCACGCACTCCCGACTCTGTTTCAGTCCAAACCGCTGTTCTGGCCTCGGCGAACACTTTGCCCTCGGACCAAGCTCCAGGACCGACGTCAGACCCATCCATCCCATCTTTGTCTTCAGCCCCAGCTCTGTCTCCAATCCCGGGGGTGGCTGAGAGGTTGGAGGGCACTGCGGGGTCCGGAGGCAAAACACCCCGCCGCATTGACTCATGATGACCTCCCTCAGCTGTGGAAACAGAGAGACGGAGGGGGAAAGGAGGGATGTGGGAGAGGGAGAGGGAGAAAGGGGTGGATGAAAGAAAAAGCAGAAATAGTGTTTAATTAGGAGCTCTGAGTCTTTGACTCATCAGTCCCACAGGCCGGGCAGTGACTTCTCTGGAAATTCATCCATCATGCCCTTAGATACACATGAACACACACACACACACACACACACACACACACACACACACACACACAGCTGCAGTCCTCAAATCATTAGTCCTCATAATACAAGCACAACTGTCCAACTGCCAGGAGATTTAAAACTGCTCTGCTCACACTCACACACAGTCGCCATGAGAGCGCACACACTGTCAAATACACACATATTCATATTCTTCTTCTGTCTCACACACACTTATCCGAAGGGATTAAAAAAAAAAAAAAACTCTAAAACTGCGACTGTGGAAAAATAGTAATAATGTCTAAAGTAGGTCACTTATGTTTTTAGAGGATAAAGCATAGGGAATTAATTTAGATGTTCCAGAGTGCATAAATTAGGACACGCACACACACACACACACACACACACACACACATATACACACACACACATACCCCCTAATCAGCTGTGATTTCACAGATATTAATCTGATCTGTTAGGTTAGCCATGTTAGCCCATGGATTTATTATTCCTAGAACATACACAACCACTCAGGCTCAGGCTCAGCTCTTGGATCACACTGAAATATATTTCCCCAGCAAAGTTTGGTGTGAGTTATATGTAAGTGATGACAGTTTTATGGAGTCATTTTTTTTTTTTTTTTTTTTTTAAATCTCACACCAAATGAGACGGATACATGGAAACGGAGCAGCAAAGATAGCATCCAGTCAAAGCATTTAGCTTCAGCCATTATCTCCATTTTGTGAACTGTCTTCATCTCCTCTGTAGCCTCAACAAAGCCTGAAGGTTTGGCAGACTGAGGCGATTACCCTGCCTAATACGTTCAGTCTCAAAGGCACCTGGCCGGAGTGGAATTGAAAGATGAGAAAAAATAAGGTTGACTGTCTGACTGACTCGCTGGAAGCTTCACTGGGTGACACAGTTTATGCCATCAGCTTATTTGTAGTAAAACTGGCAGGTTTGGTCTTTGGTGTGACTGCAGGCTGACGTTAAGTTTCTTTTGTTCTCCACATAAGAGGGAGACAAACGTTGGGTGTAGTAGTTTTTTTTTTTTTTCTTTCTAAGCACACACTCATTTCAGCCTGAAAGATGTGTTTAAGTGTGCATGTGTGTCACACACTTCCCACACTCCCCATGTCTCTGCGGAGGATCGGTTAATTAAAAGACAGTGATTCTGAGCGAGAGAGGCTTTACAGGACCAGCTCTGGGCTTAGCTGCTGCGTATCCTCTGGACACCTGGTGTAAAGCATTTCAACCACAACGCTATTAACTACCACCACTGAGCAATATGTTCCTCGTTACAGGACATGATATCATAAATGTCATTAAGAGAGAAAATTAAGTCATTGATAATTTACATTTCAGCTTCTTCAGCACCCAGAGCTCCATTAGTCAGTTTGAGAGGGGAGAAAACAACGAAGCCGGGAATGGCAGGAGCGATTACCCGGGGCACCACAGGGAGAGGAACATGCTCGTTAAGCTCAACCGAAGAGTCGTCTCTCTTTTGGTTCCCGTTCGTCTCATTCAAAAACCACTACAGCTTTTCCAGCGTGCCGTGTTTCACTGGCTCTGAACAGATGGTGATGTCAAAGGGGGATAAATGCTGATAACAAGCTCCACCTGAACGCAAAGATTCCCTGCTAACATGCGTTTAACTCATTTAAAAAATAAAAAGATTGTATATGTTTAAAGAAAGACTGTTATGTTTATATACTAAAGCAATATTTTTCAGGTGTTAGCTAAAACTTTGGACAAAGAGCGGCCATCTCACCCACTTCTGCTCATACAGCTGTATGTACAGTCTCACTTCAAGCCCTCACCACAGCAAGGACTGTTTTATTAAACTAATGGCATATTAAACTAATCAATATTTGTATATCAACAATGGATCAAAGAAATATCTATAATATTAAAGGGAGTCACTTGTAATGATCCTACAGATAATGATCATCAAATACTGCAGTTCCCCTCAGCTCAGCAACTAAATGGTGATATTATGTCAGTGTTGTGTTAACAGCTTGTTCTGATGCCACCAAGAGAGCTGCCAAAATTTAAAGAAATGCAGCTTTAAGTAAGTTTAATTGTGAGATATGGTGCCAAAGAGCCAAAAATATTTTCCTATGCAACTTTTATTTTTTGGATTTTTGTTTTTATGGTTTCTTTTGTTTTATATATGTACTTATATTTGAACATACTTACAATGTACCCATTATTCTAGTATACAGTACGTGTTTCTTCTTGGAGTCACTCCATCACCTTCTGACCCATTCTCTACTAACAGCTTTAATATAAGAATAACAATATAACTGGGTTGATACTGGGTCAATAGTCAACTATTTGTTTGAGAAAAGCTATTAGGAATCAGTTCCTTTGAGTGGAATAATGGAGGGATGGATGGATGGATGGATGGATGGATGGATGGATGGATGGATGGATGGATGGATGGATGGATGGATGGATGGATGGATGGATGGATGGATGGATGGATGGATGGATGGGAGGACTCTGCCATATGCATAACTGTTAGCAGTGTTTTGAGTGTTTTCTCCTCCAACAGTTCACCACCTGCTCTGGCTGAGAGCAACATATGTGATTACCATCAGACCTCTGACAAAACGCTAGGAAAGAAGAACCTCCACTGAGAGCAAATATGGACAGGATGGATGGATGGATGGAAGGATGGATGGGTTGATGGATGGTAGAACAGAAAGTGTGGATTAAAGATGGATAAATGTGGATCAGAGCAGAACTGACCTGCTTTATCTATTTGGACAAAATGCACAGGACATTTTCTTTTTTTCTTTTTTTTGTGCCTATTTCCGTGTTAGAACATTCAGCTTATAGCAGATTATGGGATTCATCACATGGAAATGGTGCACAAAGCACCACTGGCCATTTACAGGGCTTTAGACCAATGTCATGTTATGTATTGACCATAGTGCCTTGCCAGCTGGCACCGTGTCTACTGATGCCCTGCTGAATCTCTGTAGATGCCAGCCCGACCCTGTAAAGCCTTGCCAGGTCATTACGAGCGTTCTGAATATTCAGACTAGCTGTTCCCAGGTGCCTGTGGTAATACAATTGTAAATATCCATGGGCTATGGCCATGGTTTTGCCTTCCTCGGTTGTGTGTTGGAGCCTCGGGACGGGCAGAGTTGATCCATGCTGCCACCCTGACTGTAAGCAGGACAGGTGGTTAGGAAGTGTGACCATGGTATTGTGCCAACTGGTCTTCAGCTCAGAGAGGCTCAGAGGGAAAAGTGAAGAGGGGGAGTCTGGTTAGCTGAATCTGCCAACTTGCCAAGTGGTGGCAAATTTTCATTATAATTATTATTAAATAGCCACATGAAATACAAACACGCTTTAGAGCTGCGCCAGGCAACTACTCCAGCCTGGGCTGCAGTAGAGAGGAGAGAGGCGGCACGTGATCCACAACAATGAAAATAGTAGTAGTTTCACCTCATTAGTCCAAGTGGAAGAAAATCTTCCAGCCTCAGAAACTGATCAAACAAGGGAACACAGTGACTTTACATACGCAGAGATGTGACCACACCCAACACACAAATATACATTTGCGAGATCTGTAATGTTGGTAATGTTGGTGGAGACAGAACAGATATCAGACTTCGATTTAAGTTATTCCGATTCTCAATTGTTCAGTACATTCAGTTTAGTGCTAATTGGCAAATAGTAGACGTTACCTGTTAAATATCAGCATGTGTGCATGTGTGCATGTTCACATGGTGACGTTAGTATTTAGCTCAAACCAAAACTGTGTCTTAGCAAAGCCAAACACACCTAAACATCCTATTGGCTTATTGAGTTGTTACGGCTAATCTGTTGGCAAAAAACGGTCTACGACTGTGGCCATGTCAAGTCCAAACAAGTCCAAGTCTATTGTTTACTCTTTGTTTAACTCCAGTTTGCTGCAACAACTCCTCCACATTTACAGTATTTGTCTCTCTGCTGTCTCAACAGTTGCATTACTTGTCTTTTTACTTGGCTATTGCTTGGCTTATGAGCAGCTGAGACTAAATAGAACAGTAAATGTGCAAAACTAAAACAATGAGCAAATAGTAGCAAAAAGTAGAACTGCAGATACACTTTACATAAAATCCTGGCCTTTGTTTAAGCTGTTGGTGACAAGTTCTGAGTTGAGATCATTTCTGAAAGGTTATTTTAGCCCAGCGTTGCATTTTGAGCAGCAAGTAAAGGTCATACCATCAAACCATGTGTGCAGCTTCACTGCAGAGTGAGTCGAACAAGGATGAGGTAATATGTTTGTTTTTGGGTTTTTTTTCCAGTGTTTAAATGTAAGAATTTTTTCCCTTTAAAACTCAATTTAAATAAAGCCTCTGTGGTTAGAGTGGGAGTGCTGGTAGCAAGTCAAAGCGCTGATATACTCGTGATGTGATGCGAGACTCAGTGGGAGTAAGGATGGTCCCAAGCCAGTAGAATTTGTCCAACAGAGTGAGGCCCGTCCAACAGGATGGACATGTAACCATTTCCTGGAACTATTCGGGGGCATCCATCTGTCTGTGTGGAGGCCGAGAAAAAGGAAGCGATTTGGATCGATTGTCGAATGGAGGGATCGTCAGGTAAAAAGCTCAGTGGAGGACAGTGGAAGGGGGAAAACTAACGAGAGACATGCTAACAGACATGTTAATTTTTGGGGGGGTTGAGTTTTTAGTTTGAGACATTACTCTGACCTTTTTGTTTCCTCCACTCCAGCAGATTAGCGTGAACAGGACTTTGACAGGATCCAACAGCACTGAAGTGTCCATCTGTTTGTGTGTGAAAGAGAACGAAACTTCACCCAACACGAGCTGACGGAGCGTGGC